TACCCCTGCCACCTGACGTGTACATCAGCTGCAGCCTGATTGACGTGAACACAGCCCACTCCGTATATAGATCACCTCAAGGAACCAACCAAAATGGTCTCTTCTGAAAGCTGCTCCTCTCGGAGGGCAACAGAAATATTGCAGAGGGACTGAGGTACATGGTTGACATCTACCTAAAATTGCACTTCTTGTTCAAGCGCGGTAAGGTTAATACTCCATTTGCATCCTCGTTGAAAAGAATCAATCGAAGCCTACCGGTTCATAAAAGCTTCGGAAAAAGGAGAGTGAAGTCTGTAGGATTGAAGCCATTCAGAGTTCTGGTACACATAAGTTCATTAAGATAAAGTTCGTATATGAATTGCCCAAAGTGATAAAGACAGGTGGGAAACTTCGGCGCACTTCCAAGCTTTAGGAGTTGACAATTTGTAGTACCAAACATCGTATAACTGAGTAACGTTGGGGACCTTAACAGCTATCACTGAAAAGAAATTAAGATAGCAGGATATGATTTATCGATTAGCTATTTAGTTACACCAAGGCGGGTAGTTAAATCGGCACATCCAATGAACGCTAGTCTTACAAAGGAATCAGCTTGGTTATTTTGTTTGTCAAACTTCTCCACAAATCAAGCGAACAAAGTAAGCGACATACCCATGACCTGCAACCTTACCGAGCTGCTTCAACTTCTTTCGGCATGGTGAATAAACGAGCATTACTTCCATCCTCATTTGATCGCCTTTCTCTCCACCATTCATGGCATGATTTTTTTCTTGAAAAAGATATCCGAGAAGAAGCGGTATCCCCACCAAGAAAGTCTGCGTAAGACAGGCTAAACTTTGTCTCTCATTCATGCTGGTATGCCTTCTCTCGAGTTAGGGCACAAACGACAGCTGTCTGATTTGGAGGGTAGCGGTGAAATCACATCGTCTGTTAGCTGAGTATTGCTTAATTGTTCAGAGATCGAACGACTAGACTGTTCAATACTATATTCGTAACAAATAAATTCAAGTTCACGGAAAATTGATGGTATTCATCAAGTGTCCTCCAATGTTTATTTAACGTGCACATTTTCCACCTAAGTTTCAGTGAACTGGTGCAACGCTTAACCCTTCGGGTCAAATGTCATTTTCATGAATGTGGAAGGCCTATTTCCTGCCTTTGCCTCAGGTGGCAGGCTGACAGGTATATTGTGAGCTTTCGCTTTAATCCTCCCCATAGCAAACTCATTCGGCTTTGGATAAAACCGGGATAACCTCTGGATCGAAGTAAAATTAGTGAGGAGCTAATCAAAGCTTCGACGCACAACATTTTGATGAAGCCACAACCTTCCATCACACTATTCTTCCTATATTACTAGCGGCGGTACATTTCCATTCATAGCCAAGAGAGCTGCGAACAATTAGTTTAGGGCATACTCATGGCTAAAACAAACAAACCAACTCGATGAAAAATCGCGGCGGGTCGTACAACAATGGCAAGCTTTGCCCGCCCAAATAATGTCCTTGTAGAGCTGATTAACCTAGTCAGAAACTTGAACAAACACGACCTCCCAGGTATAATCATGTACAAGCTGTGTCGTAAGCCAGCAATAGGCGTTCATCAACTGTACAAGGTTAGGAATAATAGACCACCTGAGCACGATACAACAGATGCAATCATGCTCTGATGCCTCACAGACAGTCCCAGGAGGTCACACATGGACATAAACGTCCTCTCCTGTTCTGGAGTAAACTAACCCACTACCTACTATCTACCTTGGCAAATAAAACTCTGACCATCTGTCCACACATTTCAGGCCATACCGTTTCATCTTTAAAACACACCTACAACCTCCCTCCCCCAAATGCTTGGGCTTGTTGCTGTTATCCTCATTCTTGCTCGCACAATTTGACATGTCTTATCTCCCATTAGTCTTTCCTCGGCATCATCACCACCACAGCGCAGTCCAGAAGAAACATTCGAAACGTGGAATATATTGGAAAAACTGGGAAATAATGTGAACAGGCCACCGAAAATTACCCGTTTGAGTTGATAACTGCGCCTCAGCAAGGCAAAACTATAAAGCTTGTTTCAGGTGCGCTTACGCCGTAAAAGTGGTCGTGTATGGTAGTGATGGTAACATAGCGCTCAGAAAACCGCGTTTGAGATGAAAGCAAGTATAAAGTTGAGCAGTTCGATTCCATTGTTCGACTGTAAACCGTGTGGCCTATACGAAATAGCACTTTCAATCACGAACGATTTGTTCGAGGATATGACAAGCAATTTGATGGTCAGAATAGAAGCTGAGCAGCAAGGTGAATGCCCAGTTAACATTGAGGAAAGAAAACGTTTGTGCTTATTAACTTAATAAGCCTCGCGTTTGTGATTTTTTTTCGAACATTTCGCGATGGATTCGGCGGTTTGAAGGAAAAAAAATGAAGGAAAAGAAACATAAACATTCGAGGAAATCCAACTTGGTACTAGAACTCCGCAGGGCGACCGAAACGAACCAGAGGCGCCAAAAACTATTTCCCGTCGGCGCTTTCGAGGAAGAAAAGGATGCATCACAATAAGTCCCATTAAACTGCAACTTCCAGTGCACCAGAGCCGACAGCAAGCTTTTATTCCCGAACATCTGTCAGAACCCTTCGGCAAAATATCAAAAACGTATCATTCCTGGAAGTGCGAAGGGATAGTGTATATCACGCCTTCTAGGATTCAACACCGCTAAGAACGATCGGAGGCTAGTGGAAACAACAATGTTGTATGTTATTGTGTGAAAAATTCAAATTTGGACGGGTCAAATGTGTAGAATTATCACTGTTACGATACACATACAGGGAAGATCCGCTTCTCGAAAAACTGCGTTTTGTGTCGACATGCGGCGCCTTCTCAACTGTCAAAGTTAATGATGTACCAGCAATACTGGATGATACCCGAGTCCGATACATAATATTCTTGTTGGATTCCTGCTGTCCAGGANGGAGAGAGACACGAGATAGTGGTGGTTTTACGAGATATCGCGGTGACATACAGATTCTACCTCAAAATGAGATACGTACTGTTTCATTTCACCACGCCACGGGAGCGTCAGAATTTCAGTCCTCCTGAGGACACCTTACATATACACGCACGCCAAGCACACAGGACTGCTAAGATTTATGACTCGCTAACGAAGTTTTTGGACACGACTGAGTAATAATTGGAAAACGGCGAGATAATTGGTTAGGTTAGAGCGCGAATCTACTGATCGGAAGGTCCCTGGTTTGAACCCGACCTCTACTTCTCGACTTCCCCTGTCTAGGCTTGGGCAACTTGGCAGTATCCCAGCACTTGGGCAAGTTTCGGGTGACATGGCAGCTAGACACCGAAAGGGTGTTAAAGCTGAATGATTCAACACTCATTCAGTAATGGGAAAGCGTTGGTAAAGATTTTAAAGGGACATTTTCTTAAAGCATGCATAAGTGTTGTGTAGATGCTTTAAGACAGAGTGGTAGGAGTACACCGTTTCGACAATTCTGAACGACACACCTGGGCCTTATATTTTTGCGGTTGTTTTGTATTCAATCGGAGTTTGATCGGCCTACACATCTAGGTAGTCGCGTAAGCAGCAACCACATCGTGAATGTATGCATTATCAAGGCGTAAACAAAATCTGCTCACTCATGGCGGCAAAAACAGATTTCACTGAATCCATTGTGTCAAGTTCCCAGGGCGGCCACAAAAGAAGTCTTGTTCTATGGCTGTGAAACCTGGTCCCTCCGATCGGGCCTTTTTGTAATGGAGTGGCACGTAAGTGGACACCTGCCGATGAATCACAATTACCATAGGAGTAAATAAAACCCGCCATGTTATTGTGGCTGGGGCGTGTACTACGCGTGCCCAATCATCGCTTAACAGATGAAGCAGTTCTTTTTATTCCAAACTCTTGTTGTTGGAATGCTGATTGGAGGCAGACCGCGACTTGGTAACGCGGAATGAAGGCGGCTACTAGCAAACTGAGTGCTGCGGAAGCCTCGTGCCTACACGCTGGAATTCACATGATTTTCCTTGCACGTATTTCAATAGGACACAATCGATCAGGGGCTAGCATACCATCACTTCTTGTTCGGACTACCTAGCTAGAGTTTATTCATCGTTTTACGCTAAGCTCTTTGGATGCCGTTCGAAAAAAAAATCTTGAATGAATCCTACTGACGGCGTTTCACTTCGACATGAAGTCTAGATCTCTTATCTCGTTACCGTTCCAAGATGTAAGCACCCTGTTCTCCATCTTGTTTGCACTAGATTCCCATCCCTTCCCTCATTCTTTTCACTTATATATTCTTCCCTCATGAATGACAGATAACCATCGGTACCTAATACTGGGGTATTGTTGTCTATGATGCTGATGGCCAGAAATAACAGCACTCAACCAACCAGTACTACCGATACCGTGAAAAACACGAGTGATATCATAATTCCGTGGGGAGCGTATGGCAAACTACAGAGTGCCCGTTCAAAATCGGCGAGTTTTTCTGTTCCCAGTGGAAATAAATGGTGATGTACCGGACCAGTTGCTGTAGCTCGAGGCTTCATTGAGCATACGAATTCCACTCGATGAGTACAGCACCAAGTTGGTATACAAGAAGTACGGGTAATCACGTCTAATTCGTGACTGCAATGGTTGGAAATCCCGCACCACTGAGGACTACGTCACAAAATCTTGTGAATAGCAGCGTTAATCTGCTAGCTTTCGCTACGTTGACCGTACCACTCACACCATACTAGACTGCAGCTTAAATATTTCCGAGAAAGTTATCAAAACAATAGAGCAAATCGTATTTGAAAGAACCCCAAATCTTCTTGACAGTACACACTATTCATAAGGTTGCTGAAAACCCCACGACAGCTTACCACCGGTTTCGCCCTTCTCGTTGGTCTTCAGTTAGGCGCAGTCTCCGAAGTTCCGTCAAATTTACGCTCTACTTAAGCATCAAAATGTGCATAACTGGGAATCGCACTGGGAATACTTCAGAAAACATACCGCGAACATATATTGCATGATATGAGATAGCACGAATGTGCTAGAATTATAGGAAATGATAATACACCAGGTTGGGCTGGGAAGGCCCTGTGCAGCAAGTTAACAACCCCAATTCCAGATCACTCTGAACATCTCCGTGCTTGGATAAGTAAGGCATCCAATATGAGCTATTTCGCATTAATATAAACAACTTGAAGGAGCTCAGCGAAAACTTAGTATCAAATAAAGACATGCATTGGACAGCAGTAATCAGGTACCTCGCACGTCCATAGCAGAAATAAAAGTGTTTCCATATGCAGCTACGATAAGAAGATAGGAAGACATTAGGCTTTCAGTTTCCTTTTGAACCCAAGTAGCATGCTTAGAAACGTCCAGAGAGCTGAGAGAAAGTTAAAACGCGAATAATGTCAAAAAATATACATTTTGGCACACAGAGAAAACACTAAAGAGAATAGGAAGCTGCTTGTTTTACACGAAGCACTACTGGTACCGAGGTGGTTGGCAGAGTCCCCTTTTCTGTTACAACAGCTGACACAAGTTCCGGTGGTAAGACGTCGTACATGAGATGAAGCAAACGCAGTTTGGGATTAGAGCGCCAGTCAAGCAGATTCGGGCCAGTATAGAATGTGGGCAGCCCCGTAGGCCCTAAACCTGGCAGGCCTTCATTAGGGTCAGATGACACACCGCGAGGACCACGCCAAATATCGTCTGGGTCCCCAAGTTCATTGTATTCGAAGGCATCTGAGTGGGCTCGCTCCCAGAATTTGTACGTCTCAGCGCACACCAATGTGGGCGCGTGTGATACTGATGCGACAATGTTGGCAACTTGAGCAGTACCAATGCGCGCAAGAACGTAGCCGTTATTTAACAAGGCATGTGCACCGACCACAGCTAAGGAAACCTGCAAAAAGAAAAATTAAAACAGGATAGAAACGAGAGATTCAGCTGGTTTCTAGGTGAGTCTCTCGAAAGAACCAAATTAGTTTGCAGATGAGTGTATATTCACCAATTTCGTGCAATTTGGTTTCAAGTAGAACATAAGGTTGACGGAAACCCAGGGACTGCGCCTACCTGATGAGCCCCAAGAAGGGCGAAACCGATCGTGGGCTGTCGATGGATTTTCAGCAACTTTATGAGTAGTGCATTACAAATATACAGGATAGAAAGTGATATGAAGAGGACATAACTGCGCACCGAAACAGCTTCGCTTCGCTTCCTAGGGAATACGGATGAATCAAGATCATTCTTACACATGTTGAACTTATCTATCCCCGCTTTGAGGAACACAAGCAATTGTAAATGGGAAAAGCACACGATATACAATATTGATAATAATGGTAAAAATGGCAATACTATACCTAATATTGAAGACAAACAATTGACAATACTCGATTCAACCTCCAGATACAAAGTTTATCGGCTGCAACAAGAGCGATAAGGAAGCGCAGTGCGGTGGTTCCTCCCCACAGACGACTACGGGACCGATCAGGATAATACTTTGACAAGAGGATTGATCCTCTTGACGCCCTGAAGAATATATGCAGAGATGTTTGCCTATTTGATGATCCCTTCTGGTCTTCTGGTCTTCACCAACTCGTTCCACTCTTCGACCTGGTCTAACAAAAGAATGACACTCGGAAATACGCACGTACCGGATATCGCTGATTACTGCTCAATTCACTTCACCTCTAGTAAACACACCTTCTAACTCTTTCTTGCTTTATTTAGGTTCAGAACCGCTATATTCGAAGCAAGCTATTGCCCATATTGGTATGGTTACTCTTTGAATGCGCCTGTCAAAGCTGTGGATAATTTCGCTGTTCTTATCATGAAATTGCTCAATATGAAGTGAAGGCATGCAAACGAGTACCAGAACCATCCTGACTGGTTCTCGGTAGAATGGAATGAAGTTACAACGGTGGCACTGAGTTACGAGTGCGACGAGCCGAACGAACTATATCGGACAAGGATGCGCTTTATAATCAGTCGTTGCCGAGAGGACTCTGCCAAAGGCTCATGGGTCATGTCTATCCAAACAGTTTAACCGTGTGATGGCTGTGGTGCAAGAAAGCCAGATTGAAAACCTGAAGAACTTGAGAGGTGAAAACGATTTTTGACACAACGTTACCTTATGCCGGGTGTCGCCTCCAAAGCGGATTTGAAAACGCGAGACGTAAAGAAATCATTGATTTGGTGTGAGCTGTCCAGTAACGTGGTGCTACTGACACTAGTTGTGAGTAGTTCAATCTGAATGCCAATAAACGTATCCTATAGCTTATCAAGCGAGTAAAAAAGTCCGGAAGAAATCTTATCCTTTTTAGAAGTCAGACTTTGCTTTACCCCACTGGTCTGTATCTATATTCCAACATACTTTATAAAAGGTATAGCTGTACCCGAACGTCTTTCCCTGGTGTTGAGACGACGAAGACCCTGTTTTCGAAATCGACTGGTATGAAACTTGCAAGACAAACCTAGACGTTCTACAGACAAGGTTAACGTGCCCGTGAGACCAGTTCACTGAGAGCAAAAGAAAGCATCTCGAGATCATGTCTGCCCCAGCCTCACCCTGAACGTTCACAAAGGCCAAGGCGGCGACATTTCTCACGGATGTCCGTTAACGAGTAATACACGGGGATACGGCAGAAGTTTACTCGATTTGACAGTTCAGTGTTTGTCCGCCTGGAAGGACTGGGTTAGACGACTTCAGACAACTCACTAAGAGCAATTAAAGCAACTGGCGGGCTGATTCTAATGACTGATGGTAACAGCATTTCGACAGCCCAAACGGATAGCTTGGAACTTATCGTCAGGGGCCACGTGAAGTGGGCAGCTTGCCGAATGGTAGTGCAAACGGCAAGACGGACAACTGACCGCCAGGCATTTGTGCAACTCACGCAGGAGTACACTGTCAGATGGAATGAATCGAAGGCTGAGAACAAAGCCTTCTGAGTCAAACTCCATTTGCACTAAGGCGGCTGAGTCAGCCGGCTCAAAAAAGCATGGCACTTCGTCCTGCTTAGTGTATTCCACTTACTGGGAGAACCCCAATTTTAATTGAGTTGGGCTGTCTTCCTGAGGAAGTCAACTTATCTCTAGTAGGTGCCACTGATTCCATAGCTTCACCTGTGAGGAGAAAACCAATAACCTTGCTGGATGCTGAGGCTCCTAACCTTTTAGAGAACGACCCTGTCAGCGACCCCATACCTCACTGATGTCAGAATACGGAAAGGTTTAGTGCACGCATTTTGCATCCCGGTGATCGCTGAGAGGTTTCGCCCCACAGAAACAGTAACAGCGATCTTCTTTGGGATTCGGAAGGGGTATACTGAAAGACATCAATTTCTATGCAAACCTCAAGAGCCCATGGGTCAGTTGGAAAGTGACCCCTCTAGTGGAAACTAGTGTATTTTGGGACGAAGCTTCAGCTGAAAACAACATGGGAATGAATGATAAAAGCGCTGGAATGATTGCTTTCCTCTCCTGGTATTTCTATGAATGATGATTATGCCTTCAGAAAAGCGGATTGAAAAGACGGCAGCACTAATTCAACAGCATATGAGAAACATGAATGCGCGCGAGCGACATGGCTTTGTTTTCTGAGGGTTACATGTTGAAATACGGTCACAAAGAACCTATCACATGGCCTCTGATTACTGAGAATATCGGACGGAGATGAACTGACCAGAATTACCGTTAGGTTCGAATCAGACAGCAGCACAATTCGATAAAAATAAACCATCGAATTGGAACGGAATTTCCGTCTGTATGTTCTGGCAAACGTACACCACTCGCGTAATCAAACTCGACGCACGGGAAACCCAACTCAACAGCTTGTACAATTGAGATGAAAACTAAATCAACCATAATGTGTAAATCAGATTGCTTACCTTGTGCACCAGTGAGGGAAGTGCATCAATATGCGTGTATTCACAGGGTATACCGGCTTTGGTTAACCGAGCCAACATACGCCTGCCTTCGAAATATGGTCTGCTATCCACTACAATCACACTGAATAGTACGGGCTTGCAATCCGTTCCAGTGGGTTTAGGAACGAGGCTATCCACAGTGTCTTGACGTGCCGCGCGTACCTTCTGAGAGCCATACCAGGCTCGCTCAAGGACGCGGGCCACGACTGACGAGTAACCAAAAGTGCAGACACATTCACCTGGTCGTATAGAAGCGCTGGCACGTTCGGCAATTTCCACGCCAGCTAGATAGATACAGTTTTCCCGAAACTCGTCTATGGCTGACAGAAGCCGCGATCGACACTGTAATGAGAAAGCGAGTCGAGAAAACTGATCATATCTGCATCTAACATAGTGTGCCTGGGAAAACAGAACCGTTCTAGGCATTGAACGCTTTTTCTAAACCCAGATAGGTAGAGCATAACATAAAAGTTTAAAGTTCTTGGTTCCCAAGACTTAGGAAAAGGCCAAAGATAAAATATTTCCAATTGATCAGGCGCCTTTTTGAGACCATAGATACCTTCACGAAAACTCAACGAACATTTCTGTGCGCTAAAAACGGTTGACCCTGTTATAGCCTACATTAGGGACATGGGTGCCCCGCGGCTTTTACGAGAATAAAAGGCAACTCAGGACTAACGGGTAGTAATCTGGGTAGCTTTGAATTCCACTAGTTCTTCTGCCTAAAAAGACGATCGCAGGGACGATGCAAGGGTCAATAAGGTTGTCATTACTATGGATAGTTAACGTTTCCAGCAACCAGTTTGATGCATACGGTCAGATTGAGGACGAAAGTAAGAGGACAGCATGTCGACGGATACAAAAAAATCTCCGTGCGAGAACCTACATATAACAATGGCATGAACGGCGTCATAAAAAGTGACAACCACGAACACGTGTGTTCGTGAACGGGAGCGATAATAACCCACTTAAAAACCGGGACCCACTGGTGCGAACGTGATGAAAAAGTGCCAAAAGAAACAGCAATGGGACCGTCTAAATCAAATACGAACTTAAGTGATCACCAGTATCTGATCCAGCGGCTGATAGCCGAGATAAAAGTAAGGCTAAAATAAGCAAAGAGTAATACGACTCGGAGCAATAGTTTCGTTCGCTTATCCATATAGAGAAAAACGTAGATCATGGATGGTGAACAAAATGGCAGAAAATCGCACGAAAGCGAAAGAACATCTGTTTAAAGGCAAGACAGGGGGCAGGGGAAAATAACCTCAGCCACATAGTAAAAAACCGAGTGGAAACAAACCTACGCACGAGAGACGAGCCACACTGCAAACGTATGGGTGAAAAGTTGAATGAAATAAGTCCCAATTAGCATTCCATAACACGGTACATAATATCTGGAACTCCAGATGAAAACACGGAAGGACAGCATGCGAACTATGGGAAGAACAAGAAGTGAACCAACAAGGTATAAAAGTTACTCACAGCTTCCCAATCCTCAAGGGAGTCCAACTGATTAAGAATATGCTTCAAGTATTGGTAGGTATTTCGCACAGTGACCGCCAGCGGACGACAATGATCAAGGAAGGTAACATGGCGTTCCAGGGTGGGTCCGAAACTCCGTGCGAAGAAAGAGCCATTTGCGGCCGACTGTTCACCGGATGATGGTGGATTCTGGGCGCGAACCAATGTTTCGCACGCTTTTAAGAAATGCAGACAGCGTTCATTTGCGCCTCTTATCCGACCTTCGTCCAGATCAACACCAAGAACAAGGAAAGCAGGGTGGATGGGCGACTGACTTCCCAACCTGGTGGAACAGACGACAAAGCATGCAACGGCTTCCAGGGGACACCAGTGTGGAACGATTATGCGATCTAAACGTGAAAGTTAATCTAACAAACAAAATTCCATGGTTACACGGGGGGAACTTTCTTACGCATGAAACATCAGAGGGTCAGTCTCCTCAGACTGCTTCACAAGTGGCAAATTCCAGATGTCGTTGTACAAGGACCATCATCATCATTACCGACAGCATAACATCAGTGTTAAACACTGATACTTCGCTGCCGTAACAAAAGGGTTAGTATACATGTGGTTGTGGGAGTCGTGAGTTCACTTACCCAAGTCCACTCAAGACGTCTATGCGCTTGTCTGGTTCCTTCAAATGACGAAGCAGGTGCACACGATTTGACTCTTGTTTTCGGACAGGTAGATGAGGAAAATATTTTTCCACTGGTGGTTTTGTGTGCGATTCAACAACTAATAAAATAAATCAGTAAACAGGGAGAACTTGCTGTCTTCTCTTACGTCCAGCGCAGGATCAGCCAACGAAACCAGTTTATCGACGTTCTGGACTGTCTGACAGCTTGGAGTCTGACAATGTAATAAATGAGAAGGAAAACGAAAAGCTCACAAGATCTGGAACATCCGGAAGCCGAAGCTGTGTTGCTTTTGCACCAACAGTTGGTTCGGGCCTCACATTTTTTGACCCTACAGGGTGACTTTTGACAGCAGCTTTTGCCGCCCTTTGAGCCTCCTATGAACCACTTTAAAAACAATGAACGTGTTACCTGGATCGCACGTCTTTCAGCTCGAAGCTGAGATTTCGTTTTAGAGGTTGGTTCGCTCATGTGGGATGTACGTGCTGCGATCAGTGTAATATAAGCAGATTAAGACTGGAACGGAAAGAAGAAGAGTACGTAGTGGCATGTAGTTTTGGTATGCTTAGTTGCTAATGACAACGGTTGGTGCAACCTGGGTCGATCAGCAGGTGCAGCCGAGTGACTTGGGACTGATCCGCATTACAGCCTTAGAACTAGTTGCCACCCGCTTCCTCGCCTTGATACGCTGTACACGGGCGATTCATGAACACAAACGTTTGAGGCTCCGAAGCAAGCATTATCCTTTTTATATAGACCATCTTCTAATTTCCAACTTTCTTGATTTGAACATTCATTCATAGAGGCCACCAAGGTTGAAGAGCTGGCACAATAACATTCTATGCGTGTTAACCATCGTTCATATAATATCGTAACATCAGAGCATCGATTAAGAATAGCAATAAGAAATTTGGATCGGAAACACTAAGAGCAAATATCCTGATCTAGAATGGGGTTAATGGTCCATTGGTTACTCGCCTGCGGGAAATTGATGACTACTGTTTTTAGAACGACAACATTGAATTGTGAAGGCATGTTTTTTGGGAGGTGAGCTGACGAGGTTGATTCTTGGTTTAATAGGCAAAATAACAGTTCCGCTCAACAGTTATCCAAGTTCTGTTTCACCTGTATTTTGCGAAATAAAGCGCCACTGGTCAACATGGGTGCTACTATCAATGATGATGATGATGCAGACCGCGCTTGGTTGTGTTCCACAACAAGTTCCCATATTTCTCAGTTCCCTATAGGTTCCAATTTTCATGTTGTTGCTTCCATGGTAAGCGACCCGCGACACGCACAGATTCAGTCGCTGGCGACAGCAATAGACATGTTTTTTGGGACTCTTCTATTTCTGACCTACTATTATTTCTGAGGCTGAGAAGGACGACCGTAGTTGTCAGTCGAAGGGAGTGGCGTAGTTCGTTGAAAACTGGGGGATACAAACCATCCGGATCAGGTGATTTGTTGAGCTGAAAGAATTAGATTGTACACTGGACTTCCGTTTGTTGAGGGCGGACTGGTATCCACGTTCAACTCCCGTTAACTTGGTACTTCCGAAAGACGATTTGATAAGGCCCAGCTGGAATGTTTTCGAGAGTGTTTAGCCCTTCATTTAAGGCGATATTTCTGTGAATGGACTCAGGCCTCACCCATTCCGGATATCAGCATCACGACCAGTAGCATGTCTTGACCTACCTACCTATGCACAAAGAAAGGTGACTTGACTGGTTATACCACACGACAACTAATGACTTGAAGATTTTTAAGTTGTAACGTTCATAGTTGTACAAGAGCTGAACTACTGTCAAGGCGTCCAGACCTAGACTGGAGAACGAGTAGGGTACTCAATAAAAGCCTTAGACTCAAAAGCCCACCGAAGACCACGGTAAACTGCTACAGTAGTACATTTTTAGGAAAGATTCACCGTATCCGTTCGAACCACCAACCTGAAGGATCAGTGTTGTAACGGTATTTTCCTCAGCTTAGTTCTCGGTCTGAGCCTCCCAAGCTAGCGTTCACGTCAAAACAAACACCAAAGGTGCAAAACGCCTATTAACGGCCAAAACGAAATCAGGAACAGTTGTGCAGCGCTTCGTATATATAGCGTAAGCGGCTATAACTTTCTGGAATT